TCTCATTACAGACTCTTCAGCGATGGGCTGGTGTGCTCACTTGGGTTCCCTCAGAACTCATGGCTCTGGAAGAGCTCTCGCTGCACATCAACATCAGGGATCTCAGGGCGGTTCACTTGGCTTGCCAGGCATTCCAGCCCCATGTGGCAGGTAAGAACGTGTCAGCTCTTACAGACAACATGATGACGATGTTTTATATCAACAGGGAGGGAGAAATGCGCTCCTATCACCTGTGCCAGGAAGCACTTTGCTTGTGGGACTTTGGCATAGCCCACTCGATCCACCTCAAGGCTTCCAATCTGCTGGTTTTGCAAAGTGAGCTAGTGGATCACCTTAGCAGATCCTTTCCAACCACCACAAGTGGTCCATTCGTCCAGATATCGTGAACACCATTTTCCAGAGGTGGGGGACTCCCCAGATAGATCAGTTTGCAACAAAAGCACAACAGGAAGTGTTTCCAGTTCAGCATCCTCCTGGGTCACAGCCCCGGATCTCTTGCAGACGCCTTCCTCCTCCCTTGGATGGGTCATGTCTTCTACGTGTTTCCTCCCATTCTTCTTGTATGCAAGATCTTGCTGAGGCTCAGAAGGGACAAAGCGTGAGTCATCCTGGTAGCCCCTGCCTGGCCCCACCATTGGTTCGCCACATTTCTAGACCTCTCAGTGGAGATGCCAATCCTACCTCTGTGTCCACACCTGATCTCTCAGGACCACCTCTGTCTGCATCACTTGAACCTCCAGTCCCTTCATCTGACAGCCTGGAAGCTCCATGGCTGAACCCCGCAGAGCTAGCATGCTTGGGGCAGGTCCACGAGGTCCTACTAGAGAGCAGGAAGCCGTCCACTAGAGCGACTTGTCTGGCAAAGTGGAAGAGATTCTCAATCTGGTCTATGCAGAAGGGTCTCTCCCCTACACAATCATTAATACCATTCTTTCTGGACTACTTGCTACACCTGAAGCAACGAGGTCTAACTGTGTCATCTGTTAGAGTCCATTTGGTCGCAATCTCAGTTTTTCACCCATGGGTGAATGGCCATTCCGTGTTTTCAAACAACATCTGTGGTTGGTTTCTTAAGGACCTTGAGAGATTGTACTCCCATGTATGTCAAACAGTCCCTCCCTGGGATCTCAAAACTGACAGGACCCCCATCTGAGCCACTGGCAACATGCTCTCTGCTCTACCTGTCCTGGAAAGTGACCTTCCTAGTGTCCATTACTTCTGCCAGAAGAGTATCTGAGATCCGGGTCCATGGTATTTTTCAAGTACAAGGTCCAATTGTGTCCTCATCCAGCTTTCCTTCCAAACATGGTTTCAGAGTTCCATAGTAACCAGGGTATCTTCCTGCTGGTCTTTTGTCCGAAACCACATACTAATAGGGAAGAGCACAGGCTCCACTTGATAGACGTCAGACATGCAGTGGCCTTCTACATAGAAAGGACTAAGCCATTTCAGAAAACCACTCAACTATTTGTAGCTGTTGCAGACAGGATGAAAGGTCTTTCCATCTGAGCCCAGAGAATTTCATCATGGATCGCATCCTGCATCTGTACGTGCTATGACCGGGAAAAGGTTCCTGCCCTAACAGCACATTCCACAAGGACCCAAGCATCTATGGCAGCATTTGTAGCACAAGTTCCTATCCAGGACATTTGTAAAGTGGCAATATGGTCATCAGTTCACACTTTCACATCTCATTACACCATCACCCAACAGGCTAGAGATGATGCTGGATTTGGCTGAGCACTGTTGCAGTCAGCATGTCGATAAACTTTGAACCTTACCAATCAATGGTACCATTCTTCAACCAGCACGACACGCCCTCTGGCATGCCCGGGCCACATTCGCCCCCACCCCGAAGGGGGCTAAGGAAAGGTACCAAGTCTCCATCAAAAGGTCCCATTTTTTATTTTCACACCCTCCAGCTAACTCCCTGGTGATCCAAGCAGCCATACCCATGCTCCACCCTGACAGACAGGGAGGGCAAGAGACTAGACCTTATAGGTCGAAAGGTTTTCTCTTCAGCTGGACTACAGTTCTGGATCTCTAATTAAATTGGCACTGATGGCCAAGTATGACTTTATAAACTATGGATGGCAGAGTTTGCAGATTAATTATCTTGGCAGGATCATTTATAACAGTGGCAACAGTTCCGCAAATGCGTGGAATGGCTGCAGATACCACAGGCTCAGATCCCTTCAGCAACAGTTCAAAACCACTCTTTGCTCAGCTTCCCCATAGACTCAAAATCCGTCTGTCCCCCACTCCAGCTCATCTTCCACAGTGTACCTCCCCCCCCGCCATCTCAGAACCCCTTCATACCTGTTGAGGGTCCTGGAGAAGCAGAATCTGAGACCGTAGAAAGAGATCATATTTGCAGGCAACAGAGGACTCTATATTCTTGTCTTTGAGAAGCTAATCTGAGTTAGCCCCTCAGGTGCCTAGTCCCACCAGTCTGCGCCTGCTCTGTCAGTGCCTGTAGCCCATATGCGCTACCCTAGGACTCAAGTGAAGTTGAAGCAGCTAAAGCTACATCAAGAGTTCCACAGTGGTAGCAGATGGTACTGCACCCTGCAGTGCACAAAACAACACTATAGACACAACAGTTGCTTTTTAAAAAATCTGTTTTTGAACCAGTCAGTGTCTCTTTAAAAATATTAATTCAACTAGGGACAGAGCTCTTCTTGACCTGCTGCTCACAAATAGGGAAGAATTAGTAGGGGAAGCAAAAGTGGATGGAAACCTGGGAGGCAGTGACCATGAGATGGTTGAGTTCAGGATCCTGACACAAGGAAGAAAGGAGAGCAGCAGAATACGGACCCTGGACTTCAGAAAAGCAGACTTTGACTCCCTCATGGAACTGATGGGCAGGATCCCCTGGGAGAATAACATGAGGGGGAAAGGAATCCAGGAGAGCTGGCTGTGTTTTAAAGAATCCTTATTGAGGTTGCAGGAACAAACGATCCCAATGTATAGAAAGAATAGTAAATATGGCAGGCCACCAGCTTGGATACAGAGGGACCTAGACAAATTGGAGGATTGGGCCAAAATAAATATGATGAGGTTCAACAAGGACAAGTGCAGAGTCCTGCACTTAGGATGGAAGAATCCCATGCACTGCTACAGAGTAGGGACCGAGTGGCTAGGCAGCAGTTCTGCAGAAAAGGACCTAGGGGTTACAGTGGACGAGAAGCTGGATATGAGTCAACAGTGTGTCCTTGTTGCCAACAAGGCTAATGGCATTTTGGTCTGTATAAGTCGGAGCATTGCCAGCAGATCGAGGGATGTGATCATTCCCCTCTATTCGGCGTTGGAGGCCTCATCTGGAGTACTGTGTCCAGTTTTGGGCCCCACACTACATGAAGGATGTGGGAAAAATTGGAAAGAGTCCTGCGGAGGGCAACAAAAATGATTAGGGGTCTGGAGCACATGACTTATGAGGAGAGGCTGAGGGAACTGGGATTATTTAGTCTGCAGAAGAGAAGAATGAGGGGTAATTATTAGATGAAAGAACAAGGAGTAATGTTCTCAAGTTGCAGTGTGGGAGGTTTAGGTTGGATATTAGGAAAAACTTTTTCACTAGGAGGGTGGTGAAGCACCTAGGGAGATGATGGAATCTCCTTCCTTAGAGGTTTTTACGGTCAGGCTTGACAAAGCCCTGGCTGGGATGATTTAGTTGGGGATTGGACCTGCTTTGAGCAGCGGATTGGACTAGATACCTCCTGAGGTCCCTTCCAGGCTGAGATTGATGGTGGGGTGGAGATTGTTGAAATTCTGGTGGAATTCCTCAAGGGCCTCCTTCCTTTGGCTCCAGATGATGAAGATGTCATCAAGATAGCACAAATAGAGTATGGGCGTTAGGGGACAAGAGCTGAGGAAGCATTGTTCTAAGTCAGCCATAAAAATGTTGGCATACTGTGGGGCCATGCGGGTACCCATAGCAGTCCTGCTGATTGTGTAGATTACATTGGCCTCATTAGTACTACAAAAGCGATTTCCATCCCTTCTTGTCAACTGTTGAGAATAGCCCACTTCCACCTTAATTGAATTGGCACGTTAGCACTGACCCCCCACTTGGTACGGCAACTCCCATCTTTTCATATACTGTGTATTTATACCTCCCTACTGTATTTTCCACTCCATGCATGTGATGAAGTGGGTTTTAGCCCACAAAAGCTTATGCACAAATACATTTGTTAGTCTCTGAGGTACCACAAGGGCTCCTCGCTGTTTTTACTGATATTAATGGGACTATTTAGGTGCAACAGAGGTAGTAGGTCTGGGTTTGCCTTTGTCTCTGGGCATTTTTGCATACTGGAATGTGTTTTGCTTTTGAAATACATGCATCCACTGCTGTTTGGTGGTGTTGTCCCCCTATCCCCCCATAAATATTCTGTACAATATACAGTGTGCAATTAGTGATATTGCAATATCATTGTGTCTGTGCGCTGGTGAATTCAGTATGGCTTCCTTCATCAACCACAGTGCTGAAACTTCCAAATATAAATGGAAGGGCAAATGAGCTTCAACACTGTTGAACACTGAACATAATTTCAATGTATTTTACTTGTATCCTTTTTTGTGATGTGGGTAGGAAAATCCATAATATATTTGTATAAAAAAATAAGAAATAGATGGGAAGAGTCTGCATCTACAAATGACTCACGAATGTTCTCAGGGCAGCCTGGAAAGCCATATGTTTAATTTAAATGAGACAAACAGATTAGTATAATTGTTACATTCAACTATTATTCTCCTGGCAGTCTGTTCACTGGTGATTATTGAGAATGCATTAAAGCAGTCAGGCATATTTCATAATGGTGTGTGCTTGTAAGGCAAGTTAGTTTGTATTGACTTCATCTGTTCATTGATGTATAATTGGGGTTTTCTTCTAACTAGAGTCTTGGTCTTTAAAATTAACTTGCATTTAAAATAATTTATTTGCCACCAGAAGATAAAATGAATTTGTCTTCACATTTACACTTTGCCATTTTGTTTTCCAGCTTTTACTATTACGGAAAGAAGAGCCTCAAAGTGTTGTGAGCAAAGACGAGGATTTCTCCTCCTAGCCTGGGTCTGTCATGGTAAGCACATGGGTTTTGTCAGGACTGACCAAAACAAAGCAGGCTGCAGCACAAGAAGGATGAGAGAGTTGGTACTGTGTGATAATAAGAGATACTATTCTCAATACCTGACATACATGTCACTCCAGGCTTCCGGTTGAACTGAAAAGATAGTTTTCATTGCCTTTTTATTTATCTTTGAGCAATTTGTGTTTTAATTTTGTGATGATCATCATCATTATTCCATGTGTACCATCTGCCAGCAGTCTGGCATATAAACCAAGGCAGTATTCTTCCATCCAAATTCAGATTAATTAGCCATGTACTGTTCATGGCATTTAAGTCAGATTTATTGCAAGGCTGTTTGAAATTAATTTGCTAGGACAATTTTATTGATACACTGTGTAGAGCAAGACTGTTTAAATTGTGCAGGAAAGGTGCAGATTTGTGTAGTATAAGGACTGAGTTAATTTCTGTAAGGCGGTCGTGGTTCTCTCCCCGCCTATCAGGGAGGGAGACCAAGCCCCCTTGCTGTAATGCTCCTAGAGCGACTCCGTTCAGGGAGAATTAGCCAGCAGTTACTAGGCCCTAGCCTTCAGTCCAGGCTGGGTATCAGTTGGGTCTAGTGGCCCCGACACTCAGCCAGAGCGGGGCTGCCCACATATAATGGGCCTGGCCCGCAGTCGAGCCGGGTGGTGGCAAGTCTATAGCCCAGAGCCCTCACTCAGAGTGGGGCAGCAGTCAGGTAAGGGGGCTCTGGCCTGCTGTCAGGCAAAGCAGCACAACAGTCTCAGGGGAGATTAGCTCTCCGATGGGAGAGCCAGCTAAACCGTCGGCGTCCTAGCTCAGGTGGGCATCAGACCAATGCAAGTACGGTGGCAGGGGGTAGGGGGACTCAGGCCCACCCACTCCACTGCGTCCCAGCCCAGGGCCCCAACAGTAGCAGAGTGGTCCGTCAGTGGGGAATCCAGACGCAACATAGAATCATAGAAGATTAGGGTTGAAAGAGACCTCAGGAGGTCATCTAGTCCAATTCCCTGCTCAAAGCAGGGCCAACCCCAAATAAATCATCCCAGCCAGGGCTTTGTCAAGCCAGGCCTTAAAAACCTCTAAGGATGGAGATTCCACCACCTCCCTAGGTAACCCATTCCAGTGCTTCACCATCCTCCTAGTGAAATAGTGTTTCCTAATATCCAACCTAGACCTCCCCCACTGCAACTAGAGACCATTGCTGCTTCTTCTTTCATTTACCAGCACTGAGAACAGCCTAGCTCCATCCTCTTTGGAACCCCCCTTCAGGTAGTTGAAGGCTGCTATCAAATCCCGACTCACTCTTCTCTTCTGCAGATTAAATAAGCCCAGTTCCCTCAGTCTCTCCTCGTAACTCATGTGCCCCAGCCCCCTAATAATTTTCATTGCCCTCTGCTGGACTCTCCAATTTGTCCACATCCCTTCGGTAGTGGGAGTATTGGTATACTCCATATGTGGCCTCACCAGTGCCAAAAGAGGGGAATAATCACTTCCCTTGATCTGGTGGCAATGCTCCTATTAATACAGCCCAATATGCCGTTGGCATTCTTGGCAACAAGGGCACAATGCTGATTCGTACCCAGCTTCTCGTCCACTGTAATCCCCAGATCCTTTTCTGCAGAACTGCTGCTTAGCCAGTCGGTCCACAGCCTGTAGCGGTGCATTGGAGTCTTCCTTCCTAAATGTAGGACTCTGCACTTGTCCTTGTTGAACCTCATCAGATTTCTTTTGGCCCAATCCTCCAATTTGTCTAGGTCATTCTGGACCCTATCCCTATGCTCCAGCTTATCTATCTCTCCCCCTAGCTTAGTGTCATCTGCAAAATGGCTGAGGGTGCAATTAATCCCATCATCCAGATCATTGATAAAGATGTTGAACAAAACCGACCCCAGGTCTAACCCCTGAGGCACTCCGCTTAATACCGGCTGCCAACTAGACATGGAGCCATTGATCACTACCCGTTGAGCCTGATGATCTAGCCAGCTTTCTATCCACCTTATAGTCCATTCATCCAGTCCACACTTTTTTAACTTGCTGGCAAGAATACTGTGGGAGACCATATCAAAAGCTTTGCTAAAGTCAAGATATATCACATCCACTGCTTTCCCCATATCCACAGAGCCAGATATCTCATCATAGAAGGCAATCAGGTTGGTCAGGCATCAGTTGCCTTTGGTGAATCCATGTTGACTGTTCCTGATCACCTTCCTTTCCTCGAAGTGCTTCAAAATGGATTCCTTGAGGACCTGCTCCATGATTTTGCTGGGGACTGAAGTGAGGCTGACTGGTCTGTAGTTCCCCGGATCCTCCTCCTTCCCTTTTTAAAATATAGGCACTATATTTGCCTTTCTCCAATTGTCTGGGACCTCCCCTGATCGCCATGAATTTTCATATACAATGGCCAATGGCTCTGCAGTCACATCAGCCAACTCCTTCAGCACCCTTGGATGCATTTGATCTGGACCCATGGACTTGTGCACATCCAGCTTTTCTAAATAGTCCTTAACCTGTTCTTTGACCACTGAGGGCTGCTCACCTCCTCCCCATACTGTGTTGCCCAGTGCAGCAGTCTGGAGCTAAGTACTTCAGCTTTTTCCACATCATGTGCCTCCCCCATTCAGCAAGGTTCCCACACTTTCCCTCACCTTCTTGTTGCTAACATACCTGTAGAAACCCTTCTTGTTACCCTTCACATTCCTTGCTAGCTGCAACTCCAATTGTGCCTTGGTCTTCCTGATTACACCCCTGCATGCCTGAGCAATATTTTCATACTCCTCCCTAGTGATCTGTCCAAATTTCCATTTCTTGTAAGCTTCCTTTTTGAGTTTAAGCTCACCAAAGATTTCACTAAAAAGCAACAGAGTCCTGTGGCACCGTAAAGACTAACAGATGTATTGGAGCATAAGCTTTCGTGGTTGAATACCCACTTCGTCAGATGCATGTAATGGAAATTTCCAGAGGCAGGTATAAATATGCAGGCAAGAATCAGTCTGGAGATAACGATTTCACTGTTAAGCCAAGGTGGTCGCCTGCCATATTTCCTATTCTTTCTGCACTTCGGATTGGTATGTTCCTGCGCCCTCAATAAGGCTTCTTTAAAATACAGCTGGCTCTCCTGGACTCTTTGCCCCCTCATATTAGCTTCCCAGGGGATCCTGCCCATCAGTTCCCTAAAGGAGTCAAAGTCTGCTTTTCTGAAGTCCAGGGTCTGTATTTTGCTACTCTCCTTTCTTCCTTTTGTGAGGATCCTGAACTCAACCATCTCATGGTCACTGCTGCCTAGGTTGCCACCCACTTCTACTTCCCCTACCAATTCTTTCCTGTTTGTAAGCAGCAGGTCAAGAGGAGCAAGGTCCCTAATTGGTTGCTCCAGCACTTGTACCAGGAAGTTGTCCCCATCACTCTCCAAAAACTTCCTGGATTGTCTGTGCATTGCTGTATTGCTCTCCCAGCAGATGTCAGGGTGATTGAAGTCTCCCATTAGTATCAGGGCCTGTGATCTGGAAACTTCAGTTGTCTGAAGAAAACCTCATCTACCTCATACTTCTGATCTGGTGGTCTATAGCACACGCCCACCATGACATCACCCTTGTTGCTCTCACCCCTAAACCCAAAGACTCTTAACAGGCTTTTCTCAGTGCTGGCTGGCTTGCAGTCAGTAACCCAGCCGAACCCTATTCGGCTTCCCTGGGCTCCTTCCTACACTCCCAGTTCGAGGGTACCTGGGTTCCAGGGTTGTCGTTGATCTCACTGGAGTAAATGACGAGTGGCAGCCCAACAGCTCCCCGGTGTCTGGCAGCTCTGGCAGTCCCTCCAGATCTCTGGCACTGTAGCAGCCTTTATCAGGTCCACGCTCCAGGGCGTGTCTGCTGGGGGGGAAGAGACGTCCTGCTCCTCTGGCAGCTCTGCCCCAACTGAGCTAGAGGGCCGGCCTTTTATAGTTCCGGTTCCTGTCCCACCCCTCTGCGTCCAGCGGGGTGGCCACTGATATCCCGGTTCTGCACACCAGGGAGTGGTCCTGGTTCTCTCCCCACCTGTCAGGGAGGGAGACCAAGCCCCCTTGCTACAATTTCTTTAAAATTGCATTTAAAATTGAAAGGGAAATACTTTGCTTCATGTTTTTGTGTTTAACAAAGGAAAGAGGTCCCAAATCTGTGTTTTACATTGCAAAGTTGTGGGCCACTAGTAATGTAAAATTGCAACTATGATGTCACTTCTGTGGGTCACTGGTAGCTGAATTCTCGTAATAGTTCATCGTGTCTAAATCTTTCATTGGTCACTGGGAACTCTTCATGCCTTCTGTCAATGGAGAGGTCTGCTGTGAATGGGTAACAGTGTTGAAATTAACTGTAGAGTTTTGTTTCTAGGATGAAGAGACTCAGCACAGCCTTGAATGCATCCAGGCTAATCAGATCTTTCCCAGGAAGCAGCTGATCCGAGAGGATGAGAATCTTCAGGTAGTCACTGGACCACTCTTTGCCTTTACTGCACTGAAAGATGTGCAGATCTGTTATTGCTCAGTCTAATCAAGATTACACAGTAGAGCAGCTGAGCTGTTTGAGTTGGCCTCTGGCATAAAAGTTGCATCCAAAGTTCCATACAGTGATAGGGAAGATGATAGTTTAAGAAAATAAATCTTTTCTTTTGAAGCATATAACTGTGCCAGACAGAGAGATCATGCCTTGTGGTGTCCAAAGGGTTTCCTTAGAGGGCACGTCTTCACTACCCACCGGATTGGCAGGTAGCAATCGATCTATTGGGGATCAACTTATCGCGTCTAGTGAAGACGTGATAAAATCGATCCCTGATCGCTCTGCCATCGACTCCGGAAATCCACCACGGCAAGAGGCGGCAGCGGAGTTGACGGCGGCGCGGCAGCGGAGTTGACGGCGGCGCGGCAGCGGTCGACTTTCCCGCGTCCTCACAGCCAGGTAAGTGACCTAAAATACTCAACTTCAGCTACGCTATTCACGTAGCTGAAGTTGCGTATCTTAGGTCGACCCCCCCGCTGTAGTGTAGACCTAGCCAGAGTTTCTGAAAATTATAGTCAGTGCTCACTAAGCTTACACAGGGACTTTTCAATCACTTAGAAATTTTAATTTCTTCTCTTCCACCCAAATCTAGTAAAGGGTTTATTTCTTAATAGGAGCTGTTTATGTGAAATGCTGGAATTATTTCTTTATCCATTTTTGTTATTAGTAAGACAAAAAGTCTTACAATGCATAAATTGTATTTTTATAACTCCAAAGTGTTGTAAGGAGTTTTCATTACCTGGCTTTTAAACTGATTTAGTTAAGCTGGTGGCAAGCCCCATGTAGACACTCTTAGGCTACGTCTTCACTACCCGCCTGAATCGGCAGGTAGAAATCGATCTCTCGGGGATCGAATTATCACATCTCGTTGGGACGTGACAATCGATCCCTGAATCGACGCTTGTACTCCACCAGTGCAGGTAGGAGTAAGCGCCGTCGACGGGGGAGCCGCGGAGGTCGATTTGCCGCCGTCCTCACAGCGGGGTAAGTCAGCTCGGATACGTCGAATTCAGCTATGCTATTCGCGTAGCTGAATTTGCATATCTTAAATCGACCCCCCCGCATAGTGAAGACGTAGCCTTATTTTGGTTTAAGAGTGTTTTATTTCAGTTTAACTTAAACCTATTCCTAATATCTTTACTCTAAACTGATACAAACCAGGTTTGTATCAGTTTAAAAGTGTTCACACAGCCTTTTGCCGTGGCTTAACTAAATAGATTTTAAATTCATAGAGTAAATAATAATAATATAATATATGGAGATATACCTATCTCATAGAGCTGGAAGGGACCCTGAAAGGTCATTGAGTCCACCCCCCCTGCCTTCACTAGCAGGACCAAGTACTGATTTTTGCCCCAGATCCCTGAGTGCCCCCCTCAAGGATTGAACTCACAACTCTGGGTTTAGCAGGCCAATGCTCAAACCACTGAGCTATCCCTGCCCCCCCCCCCGATTCACAGATTCCAGGGCCAGAAGAGACCATTGTTATCATCTAGTCTGACCGCCTGAATAACAAAGGCCATAGAACTTCCCCAAATTAATTCCTAGAGCAGATCTTTTGGGAAAACATCTGAACTTCATTTAAAAATTATTAGTAATGGAGAATCCACCAGGACCCTTGGTAATTTGTTCCAGTGGTTAATTACGCTCACTGTTAACATTTTTTTTGCCTTATTTTTAGTCTGAATTTGTCTAGCTTCAACTTCCAGTCATTTGATTGTGTTATACTTTTCTCTGCTCGATTGAAAAGCCCATTATTAAATATTTGTTACTTGTACTTGTAGACTGTAATCAAGTCACCCCTTAACTTTCTCTTTGTTAAGCTAAATTGATTGAGCTCCTTGAGTCTATCACTATAAGGCATGTTTTCTAATCCTTTAATCATTCTTGTGACTCTTCTCTGAACCTGCTGCAATTTATCAAAATTCTTCTTGAATTGTGTTTACCAGAACTGGACACAGTATTCTGTCAGTGCCAAATATAGAGGTAAAATAACCTCCCTACTCCTACTTGAGATTTCCCTGTTTATGCATCTAAGGATTGTATTAGCTCTTTTGGCCACAGCGTCGCACTGGGACTCATGTTCAGCTGATTATCCACCACAACCCCCAAAATCACACCTTTAGTTAAATCCGTGCAACTTTGTTTTTTGTTATAAACCCATAAGTATAATTCTTCACCAAGGCTAGGTAAAAGGAGCAAGAGCACATGATTTTACAAGTTTACAGTGGAAAAAAAGGCAAATGCTTAATTTTTAAAATGAAAGTTTAGAATTTGAAGAATCTCAAGAAGTCCTGAAACCACAGGATTTGTATTTTTTTTTTTACTTCCAATTTTCTGCTGTGCTTGATAATAAGTCCGGTTCTTCTTCGAGTTCTGTCCCTGTGGGTGCTCCATTCCAGGTGACGGTGCGTCCCGGTGCCGTTGACCGGAGCTCTTCGGTAGCAGTGCCTGGTCGGGATGCACATGCTCAGCTGCTGTCTCGTGGCGGCGTTAGGGTCTGCCTGAGCGTGCGCATCTTGCACTCCCCCTTAGTTGCTTCTCAACCGTCCTCAGCTGAAGATGGGACTCAGGGCAGTGCTGAACCTCTTCCCTGGTCACTGAAGGAAATAAGTAAAAAGATATAGAAATAGATAGAAATATTCCAGTTCTCTCCCTTCCTTTAGAATAGTTTGTTAGTTTAAAAAAACCCAACCAAACAAAAAAAACAACCCTTTTTCTCCCACTTTTGTCTCCCGTTGAGACTCTCCCCCCAGGCAATAATAGTTCAATGATTCCAGAGTCCCCAGGCTTTAAGAAATGCCACTCCTGCAAGGAGCCTATGCCGCAGTCTGACGGACACGCGAAACGCCTCGGCGACACACACTTCCCCGCTAATTGTCACCATTGTACCAGCCTGAAAACCAGGGCTCGTCATAACAGGGACTTGCGACTAAAAATGCTCCTGATGGAGAAATCTCTGCAACCGCCTATGGAGACAGGCACAAGTTAAACCCTCTCGCTCATGCTGCCCTGCTAGGTCTGAACCGATAGGGAGCGCGGCTTCACCCTCTCAAGCGAAAAGGCAGGAAGCCGCAAGGTCTCTGCACAGAGACTTTCAAAAGGGTAAAGGGGTCTCCTGCGAGATCTTTACTCCCGGTGTTGACAGCGCCAAAAGCAGGCACCTCCGACCACCGCAGCACCTCAAAAGCAGGGACCCGACTTCCTGCAGTAGGAAGTTCTTGGCACCGGTCCCATCGGCACCGAAGATAGACCTGGACCGGCAGTGCGTTCTACCCTGGTGCTGACAAGAACGTCGGCACCGAGCCTGCCCATCATCCCCGCAGCAGACGCGGACCCCCTGCAGGATGCCTATAAACGGCCCGCAGCACCCGTGAAAGCTAAACAAAAGTCACTGCGAGCTTCCGCTCACACTTCGTGCCCCGCAGGACCACAGCCCATGGAGTAGCAACAATTTTTGCATCAAGTTGATATCTCCGTGGCCCCTGTGCCTGACTCTCCACTCCTTGACACACGACACTCACTGTTTGAACAGCCGCTCTTGCCACCTGACCTCGCTACCTTCACTGACAGCGAGAACAACATGCAGCAGCAGGCAGAGTTCTCTCCCCGCCTGATTCTCCTCCTCCACCGGAGCCATATATATCTCAAGGCATGGCACCTCACAAGAACCAGCCTCAGTTTCCCTACTTTGTCCCCCCATGGGCGGGAGCTCACTTTTCTTACACTATGCCTTGGCCTCAGTGGTACCCTTGGTCGGCTCCTGCTGCCACTCCTCCTTGTGGCCCTTCCACCAGACCGCAAGCCCGTTCTGCACGTCTGTCTCTAGCTCCATCTACATCTAGAGCTCCTGAACCCCCTCCTGAGCAGGTGAGCTATGAACCTTTCCCTGATTCACTGACTCCATCAGCTGTAGATGGAGCCCTCATGCCTCTACCTCCACAAAATGTGGATGACTTTAAGCAATTCCAGAAACTTTTCAAGAGGGTGGCACTCAGCCAGGACATCCCTTTGAAGGAAGTCCAGGAGACACAACAGACTCCTCAAAATCCTCCAACCCTCTGTGCTCTCAAGGATCGCGCTACCCATAAACTGAAGTCCTCCTAGAACCAGCTGATACTCTTTGGCAGACCCCTGCCGCCATCCCAGCAACATGCAAAAAGGCTGAACTTAAATATTATGTTCCCACTAAAGATGTAGATTTTTTATTTTCCTACCCACAACCAAACTCTCTTGTAGTGGATGCAGTGACACACAGGACAAAACAGCCACAATACCGGCCCACCCCACAAGACAAGGGCTTCAAACGGTTTGACCTCCTGGGCCGCAAGGTTTATACCTCCTCCACTTTGCAATTTAGAATTGCAAATTACTCCGCCCTCCTCACAAGCTATGATTACAACTACAACAAGCTCTTTGATTTTGCCTCCCATATCCTAGAGGCCAGGAGAGCGGACTTTAAGTCAGTCCTTGTCGAAGGTCAGTTGGTGTCCAGGACAGTGCTACAAACATCCCTGGACATGGTGGACATAGCAACCTGCACTACCGCAACTGCGGTGGTGATGCTCAGGTCTTCCTGACTGTCTGCATCCGGTATCCCCAAAGATCTGCAGAACAAAGTGGGGTACCTTTCCTTTGACAAAGATAAACTTTTTTCTAAAAAAACCGATGAAGTCCTTCACACTATGAAAGACTCTAGAGCCACCCTGAGCACACTGGGCATATACCCGTCCCTCCCCAGGAGACAACGATATTAAACTTATCAGAGACCCTGCGCACAACAATATCACTGGCCCCAGCCCAGACCGTATGATATTGGGAGGAACCGCAACTGACCTTCTAGGCGCAGACAAAACCATGCACAACCAGCTATCTTCCACCCATCGGGAAACAAACAGCAATTTTGAAGTGTTGGTCGGTGGTCT